TAAAATTATCTTTTTATTTTAAGGATTACTTTTCTTGTATAATTACTTTCTTTTAGGATCATAATTTCTTAGTTGATATTTTACACTAGTTTAGGATTATTTTTTTGTCAGTCCTTTTTACTAGATCTTCCCTATATACATTGTTTACAGAAAGGCTTAAATCCCCTTCTAGAAAGGTTCAAAAGACCTGCCCACCTCCCTCCAGGGCACAGTATCATAGTAACAGCATGTCTCGTGTCGTTTGAGAAATGTAGCCAAGAATAGAATAGCTGTCTCTCTATAAGTTTATTTGGTGGCTGGCATTAGTTCTTGTTTTCTATTTAAATTTGATTGTTTTGCCATTCAAATTCTTCTTTTCCCATTTAAGACTCACATATATTTTAGAGGTAGGTTCTACTTCAGCAGATAATTACATTATATCCAGGGAGCTAGAAAACTTTTAAAGCTGGCTGCTTAGAACCTTATATGCTAACTTTTGTCATAATATAATTTCATTTTCTCCACCCTCCATCTGAATACACTATAACCTATTAATTGGAACTTGAGTTGTTTTCAGTTCTTTTGTTACTAAATAAAATGCTAGTAAAATATTACTTTATAAGTTGCTTATTTTCTCATCTGAAGTTTTTGGGGGAGGTGTCCATAATCTCAAAAATAGTACTAGGGAGTCAGAGGGCATGAAAGGTTTTTATGGTACTTATTACATATTGCTAGATTGCTCTTTAGAAAGACAGAACTCATTTATGCTGCTAATAACATGCACATCACCCTGATTTTTGACATCCCTAGCAGTACTTTTATTAATTTTATTTGTAATTATTTGTCAATTTTTGGTAAGCACAGGAAGGCACCTTAAAGTCATGTCCTTTAACTGTTAGCAGAGTCTCACTGTCGTTATTTGTGAACTGTCTGGGTGGAAAATTTTTTCCATTTTTCTTTTTAAATGTTAATATTTTAATAAAAGGTACAGTATTCAAATAATGCAACAATAATAACAGTCATAATAGTGGCAGTAGTAGTGGTGGTGATAGTAGCAGCAATCACTAACCTTTACTGAATGCTTGCTAGGTGCTGGGCCCTTGTATAAACACTTTACTCATTTTTACAACAACCTTGTTGCTTAGGTACTGTTATTATTGCCATTTTACAGATGAAGGAAGCAAGATATAGGGAAGTTACCCAACTTGCCCAAAGTGACACTGTTAATACATGGTGGAGCCAGGATTTGAAGACAGGTAATCTGTTTACCAGAGCCTGTATTGTAGATCCTTGCAACTCAAAGTGTGGCTTTCGGATCAGCAGCATTGGCATCACCTGAGATCTTGTTAGCAATGCATAATTCCAGCCCTCACCCCACACCTACTGAAGCAAAATATGGATTTCAATAAAATCCCTGGTGATCCATATGCTTCACTGATCCATTAAGTGGTGATCCATTAAAGCTTGAAAAGCTCTACTCTAAACCACTATATTATACTAATTATTATTATTGATGAACATTTTGGCATTTCTC